CTACGCCCCGTCCTCAGCACGCCTGCCGTCGGTTGCCAGTGCGGGAACCGACCGACTAACTGATCTCTCTGTAAACAAATGGCCAGTTGCGACTGACACTTGCCTTCAGCTGAAAGCCACTCATCGCTCACCGCCTAGTAATGAGCTGAGGTACGCAATGACCGCAATTCAGGCTGCAGGTCGTCAGAACGTGAACGCATACACACACAAGGAACATTGCTAAAATATATGTCGACGCATCCCCACGCAACAAAACAGCCATCCGCGTTTAAGGTGGCGCCGGGGGAAACAATGCTGGAGAATGACAGCTGTATCCCGTGAATGAAGAACGTTGTCCACAAGTGAAACGAGACGCTGAGGCTTTGTTTACTCGCGTAGGCCGCAGCTGGTACAAACCTCGAGACTTTATTCCAGTCAACATCATTCGACTGGCTGATTACATGCCTGAGCTGCCAGAGACCCGGGCTCCGGAGCACCTTGTCGCTAGGCGGTCAGACGGCGCCGACCGGAGTCAATGGTGTATAAAATGGCATGGGAAGTGGAATCACCATATATTCTTCCTGGAACAATAACACTAACAGTTTATTCTGCACTTGTTAAAGCACAATCCAACAGTCATACGGTCGAAAAACGGGAAGGCAGGGACTGCCCAGACTAAGCCGCCGTCTTTAGATGCGCCCAGGCAGGTGGCTGACTGGGACTCCCTGCTGCCGCCGGACATCCGTTAGTGGTTCTTAGGCCAAAACCCTATGGCGTGCCGGCGCCCGAGGACGAACCGGCGGGAAAACAGCAGTGGCCAGACCCGCTGCGTATCTCGACCATGTCTACGCGTGGCGCGGAAGTCTCCAAAGCAAAAGTGACCGTCGCAGAACTCTCACTGGTGGATCACTTGGCAGGCAGTGAGTCGGTAACTACGGCCAGGCCACATGCGAAAAGCAGACGAGCATGAAAACGAACAGCAGACTAGACAAGCGGGCCCGCCATTTGAAATGATATAGAGATCTTCCGACCCACCATGGTAATTAGGGGAACCAGGTCTATTCCAGACAGTCGTCACTTGGACAAACACTACGCGAACGAGACACGTCTCACATCCCCGGATACGGGCAGTCTGAAAAGATCCTAGCAGTGCTCGACCATCTATGTCTGAGATGGATTCATCGGTTGCAGGTATACCGAGCAAATATGCGGTCCATCATGACAGTACCGTTCGGCCGTCTCCCTTATCTCCCCATGATAGAATTATGGCGCAAACACTTTGTGGCAAAGTTCTTAGGGACAACTCGCGTGAAATGACCGACGGACGGGGGGCTGACCAAGTAGGCTTTTGTAGTCTTTCCACCCAATGTCCAGGCGGAAGTAGTCGGCTTGCCTAGTCCCGCGCAGTCTACTGCAAATTGACTGTAATTGAAGACGATTATCAAAAACGCTGCAACTGGCAGTCAACCCAGTCCGCCTTGAGAAACGTCATCTGAGGTGCAGTGAGATTGCATTGATGAGTGGAGCAGACTTCAAACAGGTTTAAATGAGTTGGGACTATTGCTAGCCATTCGACTTATCAAGCAGACACTAGAACCATCTATTTCGGTAATAACCTCAACTTCGCTGATTCCAAAACCACATTGCGCTTCAACAACTAGACTAGATGACATCCAGCAGTCAGGGATTTCTTGGACCAATTCCAGACCCTGACGACGAGACCTGGAAGAGCAGTAGGGCCTCAGGGCGGGCACCAGTCGGAGGCACAACCGAGCAAGCGTGTGCCGAGTCGGCATTTGCTCGGAAGTCGAAATAGATAATGGGGCAAATGTGATCAGGCAACAGTTGTAGTAGCCGGACGAAAACAGCCGAAACGACAAAACCCCTTTTGTCGAGCACGGCCGACCGGCGCGAATAAACAGTAGCGAGTGGCTCACATGCCCACTGTTACGAAGGGAGTGGTTAGTTCCACATCCACCCTGATGATGGAACCATTCAATAAGACAAAGAATTTTCGGGTCCTGGAAGGGACAAAAGCTGAGTCCAATTATCCCTGTCATTCTAACAGGGTACGAATCTTCTCAACCAAACAGTGTAACAGAACTGCTTGAGGCGCACGATCACAGAGAGGAAATGAAATTATGGATAATCGCTACATACACTCATCACAGCGTAAAGTGAAAAGCCATGAAAGTAGAATATAGCAAGGCTTCTCGAAAATTTCACGTTAACACATTGTCGTCAGATGAAAGATGCACAGTGCACGTAGTGGTTCTCTGTTCCATCCTACATGGCATATTTATGGGTCCACTCCTTCGCATTTCTATTGTACTTGTTTACATCAGTTTTGTACAGACGAGCAATATCCGGGCTCAGTGGATCATCGGGATTAGGATCGGTCAGCAATGAACATATCGAAAGAAGCACTAGACGTTAGGTTGGGCAAAGTGATGTTACCTTTCGATATAGTGAGCGCTGGAGACCACTGGCTCCGGAGGATATCCAAGCAGATACTCCCATTCGAATTTATGTTTGGATGGTATATTTTTGTGGTAAACGTAATCTGGAAGAGTGATAATGGGTGCTAACTGGTGCAAACCTTCGGTGGCTTGAAGGGATAGTCCGTCGGGAAGTGAATGTCAAGGAAAAATACGCCCCCCTCGTACGGACTCTCAGTCTACAAGACGTTAACAAAATAAGACCAGAGACCAATTAAACCAACCGGACCCATTATCGTTGCCTGCCAGTGGAAAACTATAGAGGTAGTTAAGTCAGAGGGACTGACTTACGATCTTCATTGATGGGACCAGCAGAGCACTGGGCGGGCGGATCACGACCAAGATCTTGTAATTCCTATTTTCAACCATTAACTTAGCAAGATCATAGTCTTTGTACCTTCTTAATCCGCTTGAGGGCCATCGACGAACCACCACCAGCGGGGGCAACTGACGAACAATGGCGAGTAATGGAAACAAGGATCGCGTAAAACAACAGTTCCTCGAGTAGGAGTACAGCTTCGAATATTCAGGTCCGTGCACATTCTGACGCCCTTCCTCTAAGACTGTTCGAATATGGCAAAAGAAAATACAAAAACCCTGGGAAATTTCCTCGTTTGTCTTTATCCAGACAGACTTACGACTAATCCAGGAGTAAAATAAGAGATCCGAAGGTTCTCCCTGTCTTTATAAGATGATCGAGACATGGAACGACTCCCCCCCACCCCACCCCATCGAATAAGTGTGTGCTGTCACCTTCAACAGAAAATATCGAAGGGTATCCCTGCAAACAACCGTTAATACTGCAGTCAACTGGGTCCTGTGGTTATATCTTCACTCTGTGCGGCAGAATGTATACAGCCCTTCCTTGCTGAACACTGTGTCCGGTCAATTTTCTTCTTGTACATGGAAAATTTCGCCAGTGATGCCGTCTGTAATAACAGTGTTTCAGAAAGCCAATTGGCTGATGTAGAGGCCTGGCTTATTCACACCTAAATGGCCCAGCGTCTAATATCACCGGTCACAGTCTCTCACAACTAGATTTACGGACGAAAATATGGCTGAGAGTGGACGCCTTTCCAACATTTAGACATGTCCTCCTCATCCCGAAGAATAGGCCATGCATCCGTCAGTGTTCCTCAGTTTCCTTTTCTATCCCTCCTTAACACAATCCCATCAGTGGATGATCAGATATTCAACGGGGCCGATTTTTATGTTGATCACGCCATCATTTCACGATGTCTGTGTGTGGCAAACTGAAGTAACAGGAGGTTTTCTTGGATTATGACGCACAACTCAGTAAACTTTCTCTGCCACTATCAAACTGCCAGTGTGCCAACATAAGTCCACAAAGACATGTCGCACGCCTATCTTCATCCCAACGGGTCGCGCTTGTCCTGATATCATTTTTCATATGCCTTTATAGTGATTCAAAAATTCTTTTCATACCTCGGCAGAAAGTTTTTTACTGCCCTCGGTTTTCTGAGCGACCACGGGCAATATAATTTTTATGGTAGGGCTGAGATCTCCTTCCGCCAGTGATGTCGCGCTAACCAGCCGCTTTGTAGTCCAACGAAACGTGCGTGATTCGCAGTTATTTTCCAAATTTTCTGGAATCAGCCGTTAAATGCACGCAATACCTGCGTGATGGGGTTCATCACGTCCTAACTTACGGTAGTTCACTGTTCCTTTGAAGCAACCATATCGATCGAAGCAAATGACTAGTACCAAGTTCTGACTCTCAAGCTTTATGCATTTGAGGTCATGCGTCAGCCGATAGCACTCAGGTTTTGCCGCTACTTATGGACGCCAAGAAAATTAAGTGAGGCAGTGGGACGCTAAAGAACAGTATGCCTCACAGTCCTTTGATCTTCCTTTCACAGGATTTTTTCGTAAGCGTGTGCTACAGGTCTCACACGCCATTCTGGTTCAGTTCAGTTCAGTTCAGTTTATTGATGGAAATAGACGTAGGCCTTTGAGTACTCTATTTGCAGCGTAAAAAATGTGTGGTATACAAATAGGTGTTCTGGGCTGAAATACTTCGAACACGCCCATAATGGTGGAACAAAATGAGAAGGAGTTACAGGGGGTGAGCTCGACTTCTCATCGCTCTTGGTCATTCCGGAACATAAATATGTCCAGATTATTCTTAAAACTTTGTATGGATGGTGACATCGCAAAATCTGCGGGAAGCTCATTCCATGGTTTGACCACCCGAACCGAGAAGGAGAACTTCCGCACATCCAGCCGTGCCTCCTGAGTGCGCAGTTTTAACGGGTGACCTCGGAGGTTGGTCGTAGTAGAAAATTCAAAAAAGTCCTCGAAGGCCAGACTGCAATCCAGCCCCTTTATAATGCGGAAGGCTTGCAGGAGATCCCCGCGAAGTTGCCTGTAACTCAAAGAAAAGAGGTTCAGATTTACTAGGCGGGTTGCGTAAGGAAAGTAGCTCTGATCCCTAACCATCTTCGTGGCTCTCCTCTGGACTCTTTCGAGGCAGTTTTAATCCTCAACAGCCCACGGCCTCCAAGCTTGTATGCCGTACTCTAAATGCGGCCGGACGAATGTTCCGAATGTCTTAGAGAAAGCTTCTTCGTCCAAGTCCATAAATGCACGCTTGATGGCGTACAGTACGGACATTGCGCTTTTTTGCCACCCTCGAACAGTGGGCGAATGGTTTTAGGGAACTCGTCGTCAGTACACCGAGGTCCCTTTGGGCTTTGACCTCTTGTAATGCTGCACCGCCCAAAAAGTAGTCTCTTGAGCTGACAGATCTGGCTGTGTTGCCTAGGCGACATTTTCCAACGTTGAACCGCAGAAGCCAACGGTTTGATCATTCCTCCAACCGATTTTGGTTTACGTGCCGTCTGTCTTCGTCGGCAGGTCCCCGAATTACACTCTGTCTTCATATCGTCGGCAAACATTGCTACTTTGCAAACTAAAGCTCTTGCGGCATCGTCCACGTATATAAGGAACAGAATGGGTCTCAGTACTGAACCCTGGGGGACACCACTCTCGACTATAGCAGGATCTGATTTTCCTTGACCGATGCACACAACCTGGTGTCGACCCACAAGGAAGTTTTCGATCCATTTAAGGAAGTTGTCACCGATCCCTATTTTTTTCAGCTTATGTAAGAGCCTTTAGTGTAGCACAGTGTCGAACGCCTTCTGGAAGTCGCTGAAGGCTATGTGGACCACGTGCCTGTCGTCGAGAGCTCGAATCCAGCTCTGGAGAGATTGCAGCAAGTTTGTCGTGCAGGATCTTCCTTTTCGGAACCCATGTTGGCAGTTCGATAGCAGGCCGTGAACTTCCAGGAATCGCATCAGTTCACTCTTTATGATCCTTTCCATAACTTTGCAGAGAATGCATGTCAAGCTAATGGGCCTGTAATTTGTCGTCGCTGCCCTGTTACCTCCTTTGTGTAGCGGAGTAATATGCGTCAGCTTCCAATCGATAGGAAGTGTTCCAGTGTCAAATGACGTTTGAAAGAGCATCGACAAAGGCACAGAAAGCTCACTGGCAAGTTCCTTGAGAAGCTTGGTTAAAGCCCCTACCAAATTACCTCCGCAGCGAGGACATTCGATGACGACCGTCACTGGCACTCTGACTGCTTTGGGTTCATGCACACGATTTTTGGCCCAGCAATGCTGCCCAGACCCTCGATGTGTCATGTACAGGGGCTGGCAGTGACAACACTAAATAACACAGCCAGCATCTGTTCTCCATTTTTTATTTTCTTTACAAATGCGGTGTTATCCCGAACCCTTCCACATGCGCCTTATCTTCATTGGTCCACCTACGTCGCCATCCGCATTCTAGTTTTCGATAACGTGGTCATCCGAGAATGTCTTCTGTAGACCTTCGAGCGTCCACTGTAGAGTATCTTGAGCATGGTAAATTCTCTCCGTTTGTCCCTCTCAAACCGCTTTGACATGATTTTATTCCTTGCGCATCCCAGGTTGCCCAAAGCTTTTTCTTAAACCAATACCAGGCGCCACATATGCTATTGACAAATAAATTCTGGTCTGGCTGATTTTTCTCTCTTCCCAACGTTGCTACTGATGTATTTTTCTTTCGTTGTGATGATGAATGTCTTAAAAGTGACTATCGGAGCAGTATTGTAGGACTGGGACAGGTATTATCGGGATCTGAAGACTTGTAGCGGCACAGCTGTGGGAATGTGTGTAGTCTCTGATCTACGATTATCAAGTCAAATCCCAGATTGGAAGGAGAAGAAGGAAGGCACCAGGGTAAGGGGTTTATTTTGCACAGAACCCGCAGTTGTCCTCTCAGGCGGCAGTGGCCACTGGCGAAGATAAGGCTGGTGTTGACTGCGTCCACTCATGCCTGAGAGTCCCTGCGATAGTGGTGGCAGCCACTTTTATAGGCTCGTTGGCCAAGCTTAAGTGGTGTCCAGTCAGGGTGTGTTGAATTTGCCAGTGGCTTGTCTTGCTAGTTGCAGGGGGTGGCACGTTCAAGTGGCGCATGGGTGGCGGCGACGCTGTGTGGACGCAGTTGTGTCCGAAGTGAAGTCAGTCGAGTGGCTTCAACTCAGCTCGCCTGGGACGGCTCGCTGCAAGGGGTGAATGACCTTGAGGCAGCGAGGTCGTGGACAATGACACCAGACCGGTCATTTTGGCTGTCCGCTACAGACTTATGTTTTTTGGCACTTTTATTTCATGTTAGATAACATCTTACGTAAAGCGTATGCGAAGTATGTTTGCGGGCGACACGTTTCACTGACCTGAAGAAAAGAACTTGCTTTTTTTGTGCAGACCATAGGGAAGATGTGAAATGCATTCACCTCCCTCTTTCTCTCTGTTGAAATTTAATTCTGGACTTTCGGCGTTCTGTATGAACGGGGTTGGATCCCTGTTCGTTTTGCTTTTTAGATAGATAGATAGATAATTTTTATTAAAGACCCGTCGGGGTCCCATCAAAGCAAGTTAAAATAAATTTGCATGCGAGTTTTAGACGAGGTAGGCCGAATCTTTACAAAATGCAATTCCTAGTTTCTAAATTAGAAGTCCATTGAGAAACATGATGATTGAGGGGTGAAAAAAAACTCCTTACAAAAAGTTAAAAATGATTGGAT